TTGTTTTGTTATTTTTGAAATCGGGTAAAAATAAAGTAGGATAAATGAATTTTTCCCATTCCTCAATCTAGTATATATTATAAATGGTAACGGGCTTATCATTGTTGGTGTGGGTGTGGATGCTCATGGGCAGCCCAATTTAAGGGATAATGCAGCCCAATCTACAGTTTTGAGCTTGTTGAAGCTGATGCTTAACCAATAATACAATGGTGGGCAAGAAAAAATAAGACTCGAGAAGTGGGTTTCAGGAGTAAATCAATCCTGGATTTTTTGTGACAGGATTAAATGAGCTTGAAAAATCAAAGGGCTCCATAGTAATTCTCCATGGACTGATTTGCAGGAAATGGAAAGGGCCGTGGACACCTGTTCATCTCATTCAAGGCCGTGAAATCATCTTAAAAGTCATCGAATCAAAGTTAACCACAAAATGAGGATGTGTAAGATAGTAGTGGATTTAGTGTGGGGTCAATGGGGACAGCTGCCCCACACCCACAAAGTTTCTCTAAGGGTCCGTTTGATTGCAGATGTAAAATTTGGGTGGAAAGAAAATGAATTATAAGGAATTAATTTGTCTCAAATTTTTTTTACTGATAATTGTAATTAATTGTGTTTGATTGATATAATTTGCCACCTGAAAAATGTTGAAAATTTGGTGTCCGTTTGACTTTGTTTTGCATGAAAATTATCAATAAAAGTGATAAATTTTTTTACCATTGTATTTAGAATTTTTTTCCAATTATAAAAAAAAAGGGTGGAAAACCAAAAACCACCAAAACAACAAGAAAACAATTTCATTGAAAAGTGGGAAAAGGAGACGCTTGAGTGAAAATTTGGAAAATGAATTCCATGGAAAATGTTGACTATCAAACAGCCCAAAACTTGGAAAATGTAGAAAATTTCAGGTTTCAAACAGGGACTAAATGTTTAAGTTCCTTCATATCCATCCACAACCTTTTGTTAATTTTGCCTCTACAATTACAATTTTTTACTTCAAGATCTTGTACCTACGATTTTAGTTATAGACATTTCTCACACAACTTTACAATCCTAGTTCTGCCCTTAGACAGACAATTTGTTGCTTGAACTTTTTTCTAGACCACCTAAAATATCAACCTTATAGGTAGCTTAATCCATGCTGGTGTGATAAAGCTGACATAACGCCGATGAAAAGGACAAAACGGACTCATAAATCAAGGTAGTGCTAGTGAGGTGAAAAACAAAATCAGCAATAAAAAAATAGAGCGACATGGACTACATACATTTGAGTGATTGCATAGTTAATGTAGAAGTGTGGGTCAAGTCGATGAAGCACCAAGATAGCATTTGCAACTATGGCAGCTTATAAGTTCTTCCACCCATAACTTGAGTTCAAGAAAATGTGGCACCTTTTCACGACGTTATAGGGGATATAATGGATTGAGATAGTTACTCAATACGATCCCCCTCGAGTAGAGATTTCAAACTTGATGATAAGAATTAAAAAAAAAACACACACACACACATTTACATATGTATATTCATGTTTCACTTTTTTACATGTAATACTCAAACGTCTTTAAATATGGTACATTTTTTTTTTGGAGGTTAGGCATAGCCCCCAATAATGTTTTTCTTTTGTTATTAAAAAAACACCGAACAAGGTCAATTTGCAAAAAATGATAAATTAAACTAACTTA